TTAGCTTGGAGGGACGCGCTGGGCGGAGGTGGAGGACGCGACCAGTGTGCCCAGGAGCAGGAAGGACAGCGCTGGAGGGTCGCTACCAGGAACTGAGGGCTGGGACTGTCCCTAAATCCCGGTGGCTGCCATCTCGAGCTGGGAATAAAGGGTCTTTTTGTGGGTTTAACTGGAGGCTCAATATATGGATGGGCACGAAATGTTTGGGAGGGGAAGTCAGGGTTTGGAGCAGGATGTTTGTCAGGGAGCGAGGATGGAAGGGTATCGTTGCAGCCTGGGTGGAGAAATGAAAAAATTCAAATTGGAAGAGAGACTGCTGGGGAACTGGGCGGTGAGGGGACCCAGAGCGTGGCGCCGGCGGGACCACCAAGGCTGGGAAGCTGCGCTGGGGTCAGAGGGGTGCCCATGTGCCACCTCACCCACCCCAGGGCTGTGTGGGACTCGCAGGAAGAAATGACAGCGCAGGGGAGGGGTGGAGCTGTCAGAGCGGCAGGCTTTAGGGACTTGGGGGATCCAGGAGAGTGGGTCAGAACAGGAAGATTTAAAACTGCCGTGGAAAGCCCGTGGAGGAAGGTTGGTCTGTGCTAGAGAGCAAGCCGCACGCACTGGAAGTAAAACCTGCAGAGGAAGGAATCGCCATGAGCTCCCAGAGGGCTGAGGAGGCAGGAGGTGATCAGTGAGAACACGCCGTGGGTTCGACCTTTGGGGTTTTTTTTTAGCGCTGCGAACTGCCTGGGAGCCGAGGGGTCTGCAAGGGGCTTTCCAGCCTCGGGGGAAGATGCTGGAGTTCTCCGCCGTGAGCGGTTCCCTTGGAGAATGGCAGGGTCTGAGCTGGCTGTTGCCAAAATATCGGGAACTTCAGCAGAAAAGTGAGTAACAAAGCAAACGGCTGCGCTGGGCAACCCTGCCCGGACCCCCTCCGTCTCTGAAACACCGCTTCCTTCCTGAGAAACTCCCGGAATAAACCCCCTTCCCCGCGAATTAAATAATCTGATACTGTGCTGGGACCAACCAGAACTGCTCTGCCTCGGGAGCGGCCTCGATTTGTAGGTTTTTCTGCAATTGGCTTTTAACGGAATTGGGAAACAGGAATACCTGGACTTGGGAGTGGAAGGGAGAGCTGTGTCGCTGCAGGATAAAGGGATGGAAAGTGCAGATTAAGAAAATGTGTGGAGATCGCTGGGCTGGAGTTTAGAACTGCACGGAATAACCAGGAAACTTCATTTGTGGCGATTAATCTGAGCGCCGGAGGGAAGCAGTGAAAGTGGACGTGGTTGTCTGGGCTGGAGGAGAGCACTGACATTGGCAGGTGTGAGTTGGAGGGTCTGGAGGATGACGAAGGAACAACGAGCAGGTGGGAGGATTTACAGGAGAACTCTGCTGCTGCTTCCCAGCGTTCTGCAGAGACGGGCTGGTGCTGCCTGTCCTGTGCCCGCAGACAGCCTTTCCCCGAAGGCTCAGCCCCCGGGAGGCCTGGGGCAGGAAGGGTGAGAAAAGTCGACGTGGGAACGTCTGCGGGGGAGCTGAGAGGGGTCTGATGGGCCTGGTCCGGTCCTGGTCGAGTCTCGGGGATTTTTGGGAGTGAAGAAGTTACGTGGTGTTGAGAGGAGGACATAGTGAGCCTGGCCGCACAGCGGGGAAAGGTTTAACTGGGCTGTTTGGGGGCCAGGACACAAGGAGACGGAGGCTTGTAAAAGCTGGAAGTGATTATCGAGGCCATGGGCTCCAGCATCTCGCTCGCCTCGGGCTGTGCAGCAGCAGGAAGAAACCCGGAGTGAAATCTCTGCCTGATGCCACGCGGTGGGAAGGTGCCCTGGCTGCTCTGCGGTCCCGGTGGCACGCCAGGGACACCAGCACGGTTCCGAATCCCGCAGCACACGTGGGAATTCCCACTAACAGCGCCCAGCTCCGTCCCCACACACCGTTCAAAAACGGACCGGACCCGGAGGAGTCCACTCAAAAAGCCCTCGAGGTGAAAATCCCCTCGTCAGCGTGACTGAGGGATTCCGAGTGATTTCTCCTCCAGCTCCCTGGTTTTCTTCTTGACTTTCTGAAACTTTCAGGCTGAAATCTTCCAGCCTTGGGCCGGATCCAGAGGCGCTCGGTGGGGGGGAAGGAGTGTGGGAGGCGGATGAACCAACCAGTTGAGGTGTTTTGAGAAGGAGGACGAAAATACTGCTCCCTGTTGAAATTCCTGTCACCTCTTTATCAGCGCTGCAGCTGAAGTAGCTGGATGCAGAAGTTACCACTTGCCTTAGTTGCTGTCAAGAAGAGCATCTGGGGGAAAATGGTTTAATTTTCTATTTCTGGGACCCCTCCCCATCCCTCCCCTGAGCTCACACAGGGCTGTGCTGTATTTCTGTGGCTCCCTGACCATCACAGCTTACAGGATTTAACCACCTCCCGCTCATCGAGCAGAAGATATTCTCCAAATTGCCTTTGAAGTCCGGGAATTAAAAATTTGGGAGCAGAGCCTGTGGTTTTTGTGCTCCCGCGGGACAGATCCCAGTGCAGCGATTTGTAGGGCGAAAAGCTGCTGGGCGCACGCGGAATCCGGGCGAGCAGTTCGGCTGAAGATCTGTAGTAAACACAGCGCTGGCTGGACGCTTCCAATTAAATCTAGTCAGGAACAGGCTGGGAATTGGGAGGCAGATCTGGGACGCTGGAGTTCGCAGCTCAGGAGCTTCCTCAGCAGCTGGTTCGTGCCGTGAAAAGCTGCGGGGAGGGGAGCCGGCATGTCCGAGCTCCTGCCCCAAAGAGGGATCTGCTGGCCCAGAAATGAGTGAGGTGTGCGAGTCGGGGAGGATCTGCAGCCCGCGGGCTGGACGTGGTGTGGAGTGTGTTTCCTCGCCAAGCAGCGAGAGGCTCAGCTGTTGAGGGCGTTTGGTTTTTCTCTGCTGAATTCTTGCCCGCTCATGCTTACAAAAGGTGTCCTGCTTCCTGGTAGCACCCCGGAGCAGCAAGTTGTGTCTTGTCCTCACGCTCAGGACGCTGACATCCGTGTGAGCCAGGCCTCAGCGCGTGCAGAAGCAAAAGGCTCGTTGTTGGGGGGAGGAAAATCAAGCCAGGCGGTGGGGTAAATCCTCGTGGCTTGGCTTTGTGGTGTATTTTTCTCTTTTCCACCTCCCAGCGTGTAAAACATCCTCTGGGGTTATGTGGAGGAAAAGCAGAGCCCATCACCCTGTCCTCAGGGCATGAGTAATCCTCCTTGCTGGGGAAGGGAGATGGCGGTCCCGTCGGTATGGGGTTTGGTTTGCATCTTCGCCGGCCGGACTGGAGATGGGTGGGA